TTTTTTTTTTTTTTTACTTTTAGGTTTTGGATGAAGTAACTCTGAAGAAGGGACAGTGAAAAGAAAAGAAGTCCAGGGTGAGAACTTCTGATGCATAACCGACTAAAGAAATGAAGGGGTGAGAACCATATTTTGAATATATTATTAGCCATAAACAATAGCAAGGTTCTTGGCGCAGGGTGCTCTTGGTAAAATAGGATCCGAGCTGGAAAGATAAATTAATATCGCTTTATTTATGCATAAATAAAAGAGAGGTCTCCCATGGATGCAAGGTGAGAGGCCCTTAAAAAGGTAAGAAATCACTTTATGTGCAGTTCAGACTTTTTGGCTTTGGAACGTCTTTGTCAATTGGCCAGCATCATTGGTGTCATCAGGCATCCAGAGAGCATGCTCAGTAGTTCTGTGTGTACCATGCAACAATTAAAAGCATCCCATGATATTCTTAGCACAATCATGTTGACGATCGAGGTGTGTTTCCTACATTAGAGTGAGATTTCAGTTGTGGTGGCTCAGTGGTTAGGATGCAGTATTGCAGGCTGGCTCTGCCCACTGCCAGCAGTTCGATCCTCATGGCTCAAGGTTGACTCAGTCTTCCATCCTTCTGAAGTTGGTAAAATGAGGATCCAGATTGTTGGGGGCAACATGCTGACTCTGTAAACCATTTAGAGAGGGCTATAAAGCACTATGAAGTGGTATATAAGTCTAAATGCTATTGCTTTGCCGCCCTGAGTCCGCAAGGAGAAGGGCGGGATATAAATGTAATTAAATAAATAAATAAATAAATAATAAATCTCTTTTGGCAATTCTACTCTCTGGCTGATACTTATCGGAATCCACATTCTTGCTGGTTACTTCAAAGAACTAGGAATGTTTATCAAAAATGCTCCTTGTTGCTAAAACCAGTTACTCAAAGAGACACCCCTTTGTAGCTCCCATCAGTATCAGGGTTGAAGACACAGTGTAGGACAGTGGTGGCGAACCTATGGCACGCGTGCCAGAGGTGGCACTCAGAGCCCTCTCTGTGGGCACGTGCGCCATGCCCCGGAGATGGCAACTGTCCTCTTCAACCAGCCGCCCACTAACTCGCCGAGGTCCCACATAGCCAGATACATCCCAGCACCCATGCACTCGCTGGTCTCTGTGTGCGGGGGCCAATGGTGTCAGGCAGCAGCCGCCCCGGCCCCTGCCTCGCCTTGCCCTGCGACAATGGCACCCCCGCCCTGCCTCGCCTTGTCTCACCTCACCCCGCAGGACGAGCCTCCTGCCCACCCCTCCACCCACCAAAGACCCCCTGGATCTCCCCAACCTTTCCCAGCCCCCACAGGCATCCCTCCCCAGGAGCAACATCAAGCTGGCCACGCCAACCCATCTGCCATGACCATTGTAGCCATGCCCACCCAGCGGGCCACGCCCACCCAGCACCCGGCGATACATAAGTGGTTTTGGGTTGCAGTTTGGGCACTCGGTCTCTAAAAGGTTCGCCATCACTGGTGTAGGAGAAGACTTAACGGGAGAATAAACAGGCAAATTTTGAACTGAAATTCCCTTCCCCTTCTTCCCCTCCTGGCCAACATGATCTTCCTAGGGCCGAGTTTCCACCTTTGGCCATTCTTATCAGACGTGTGGACTTCAACTCCCAGAATTTCCCAGCCAGCCATGTAGGATAGGGGTGAGCCTAGGCAACTGCTCCTTCTGATAAACATGATAGCAGAGGGAATAACCCAAGTTCCTCCAAGTACTACTGGATGCTACAACTGCTGAAAGTTGGGCTTCAGTTATAGTTGGCACTTTTCTCTTGCTAAGTGAGGCAGATGTTCGTTGAGTTTTGCCACATTTGGGCTCCTTTCTTGCCAACGTTCATAGGAAGCTCACTCCCTGGTATTCAGGACGCTGCTTATAAGCGCTTATATGTGCTTAGAGCTCGGAGTATCGTTAAAAGACCCCACTTCACGGTCTGTTTCTGTTGCTCCCCTCTGCGAGGAGGTTTCGAAGTATTTCTAGCAGGACTGCCCGATTCTGTAATAGCTTTGTTCCCTATGCCCTCCATCTGGGAAACTCGCAAGATTCATTTTTCTCGCCATGTGTATGTATACATAACCCGAACTAGACTGTTTTGTTTCTCTGGGTCATAGAATATATGCATAATTCTGTATTTATTTATTTTTGTCACATTTATGTAGTGTATATGGTGACCCTTTGAGAGCTGAATGCAATGAAATTTCATTTTAATGTATACCGATTAGTGTACATTCAAAGTGACAATAAAGCTATTCTGTTCTGTTCTATTCTATTCTATTCTATTCTAAAGTTGTTAAGCGAATCACTGCAGTTGTTATATCCTGCTGAGTTTGCCAATGCTGTATTTGCACAATATTGGCCTGAGGGGAGAAATGGGAGAAAAATTAGTGGCTCTTGGTAGGATATCCCTACTTTGACCTTGAGAGCCAAGTTACTGGGATTATTTCTTCGAATCAAAGTAGCCCAGGTTTGCTGTACATATCTGCTTGCTCAGGTTGCAGCAAAAAAATTGTATAAATATTCAGTGATAAACTAAGCCCACAAGCTGGATTTGCACCATGGACTAAGTCACAAAAATGATAATCAAGGCTAATACCAGGCTAATGAAGTGTGAGGGCAGACACTTAGAGCGCCGTTTCTCAACCTTGGCCACTTTGAAGATGTCTGGACTTCAACTCCCAGAATTCCCCAGCCAGCTCTGGGAGTTGAAGTTCAGACATCTTCAAAGTGGCCAAGGTTGAGAATCACATTAGATCTTCAACTGTCTTAAAAACCCATGTAGACTTTTTGTCTTCTGTGCATGTCTGGCTTATTCACCAAGCCGAGGATGAAGAAGGCTGACTTGGAAACAAAGTATGTACTCACCCTGATTGCATTTAGGAAACTGAAAACTTAAATACATGAAATAAACTCTGAAAACTAGTGGAAACTTTAATAATGCAATACAAAATCTCCAAGCCCCTCCCTCAGTATAAAAATATATTTGCGCTTTTGGCGGATAGAACCTCTCTTTTAGGAACAAAGGTTCTCCAGATGTGTGTGTCTTGGGTACTCATAGAACATAGAATCCTAAGGCTGGAAGGCACCTTGAAGGTCTTCTAGTCCAGCCCCCTGCTCAAGGTAGGAGTCCTTATACTATCCTGATCAGTCTCTTCTTGAAGACCTCCAGTGTTGGAACACCCACAACTTCTAGAGACAAGTTGTTCCAGTAATTAATTATTCTCGCTGTCAGTAAATTTCTTCTTATTCCAGGTTGCTTCTCTCCTTGATTAGTTTCCATCTGTTGCTTCTTGTCTTCTGGTGGTTTGGAAAATAAGTTGACGCCCTCTTCTTTGTGGCAGCCCCTCAAATACTGGAAGACTGCTATCATGTCCCCCCTAATCCTTGCCTTCAGTAGGTTTAGTTATACCTAGCTCCCTCAATTGTTCACACAATTTAACCTCCAGGTCCTTTATCATCTTTAATCCCTTGTCTAACCAGCATCCAGCTAAGCAAGGTCTGCCTCACCCTAACCCAAGAGGACCCACAATTGCTCTGTGAGAGAGACGAATGGTCTCTAAATGTGATACATAAAAAGATAAGATAAGGGGTCCTTGATGCTCTTTGAGCCTGCTTGTTTTCTTGCAGACGTTTCATTATCCTAATCAGGTAACCTCATCAGTGCAAGCTCTGAGAGCATCAAGGACCCCTTATTTCAACCCTGAGTGCCAAATATTCTCCTTCAAACATAAGCTATCTGATGGAAGGAATGTCCCCATCTCATGTGGTCCTCCTTGTCTCAGCAGGCAGCAGAAAACATCAGAGACAGAAGAGGGGACGGTTCAGATCCAGGAAGGTGAGCATCCTCCAGCCCTGTTTTATTTTCTCTTCCTCCAGGAGCCCAGGATTTGTCTATATAATTTTCTTGGCGATGTTACAGACATAGTTTTGGGATGTGTTTCCTCTTCTCGATTGGGAAAGTCTGAGATTTCCTGGTGGTCTCCCACCCAAATAAGGTCTGAGCCTACTTTAGATTTTATTTTTGATTGCGGGGACACAAGTAGTCCTCGATTTACAACCACAATTGAGCCCAAAATTTCTGCTGCTAAGCAAGACAGTTGTTAAGTGAATTTTGCCTCCTTTTACGACCTATCTGGCCACAGTTGTTAAGTAATCACTTCAGTTGTTAAGTTAGTAACGTGGTTATTGAGCGAATTTGGCTTCCCCGTTGACTATGCTTGTGAGAAGTTCACAAGAGGGGGTCACATGACCCCAGGGCACTGCAACCGTCCTAAATATAAGTCAGTTGCCACGTGTCTAAATTTTGATCATGTGACCATGGCAATGCTGCAACGGTCGTAAGTGTGAAAAACGGTCCTGTCACTTTTTTCAGGGCCGATGTAATTTCACACAGTGTTGTGATTCCTCGCCAGCCCGTGGATCCGGAGCTCCAAGACTTACAGTCTGACAGGAGTCTGGCCCCTCTACTGGCGCTCAGGCTGAGACACAGCTGTGCTGGGAATCTCAGGGGGATAGTGACGACTCACAGCTGGGTGATATCCAGGATGCTCCTAAATGCCGGCAAGCAATGGGAGCAGGACAGAGGCATGCATTGGGGTGGCTCCAGAGGGAAAGGAGCAGGCATTAGGAAAGCCACGCATTGGCTGCATAATAAAAGGGGAGGTGTGGGAGGTGCTGGTTGCCAAAGGCAACTGTTCGGGTAAGAATCAAGTTGTGATGAACTGTGTTTGTTTTCCTCAGATCTGTGAGTAATAAAAGGGGTTTGGGTTTGTCCTGCGGTTTCTGCCTGCTTGATTTGAAGAGGGGTTTTCTCCTTGTGAACTTAACAAGGAGCTCAA